ATAGTCCCTTGCTCGTCACATTTTTTTTTTTTTCAAAAAGGTGAAGTTTGGCTGTCGATTTTATCATGAAGTAGCTGAACGTTAAGAGCAGTTAACACCTTTCTACTGTTTTCGAGTAATTGTTTCGAGTCGTTGTTATCGGCCATTAATCAATCCGTATCATTTTTCACAAACTGTACCCTAGTGGGCCGTTTCCTTCCTTACCATCACTCAGTTATTTCTCATGATCAGGTATCCAAATTAGCTGAGTTTTTGAAATTTAATTCATTTCAATGATAATTTTCCTACCTTGAATCTTCGATTTCTGGACTGCCTGTGCAGCAATCGTTTTTGGAATACCATCGTAATCGAAGAATTTTTCCGTAATAATGATCACTTCCGGAGTAGTACCTGGAGGAAACCGATTCGGAGTGTAACCTTGATTGGAGATTACTTTCTTACAACAGCAGCGGTACATTTGATACCAAACTTTTATGTGTGTTAAGCATATCAAGACCAATCGGTGTTAGTGATGCCATTGGGACCAATCGGCTTTAGTGATGTCACTAATCATTCTCGTGTTACACACCTTAATTTGGTATCCAGCGCCTTCTTGATATATGTGGCCCACCTTTCGAAAACTGCCCTAGTGGCCGCTTACTTTCTTAACGCGAGACATCCACCGGTTGTCCACAAGAACAGCAATATATCCTGCTCGTCGAATTCTCCTCGGCAGAAAATTACCGGTGGCATGTCCAGCAAGTCAGATAATCGCACCGCTTTCAATACCTCCACCGGTCGCAGAGAACAGGATTCAGAGCAAGCTCTAACAACTGTCGGAAAATGACGCAAAAGTGAAAGTGAAACAATTCCTTCAAAAATCTATATTTCTTGCAGTACTGTCTTTGGGTTTATTAAATGAAATGAGATAAAAAAACGGGTTTTAACAACTGCCGCTGTGGCATCTCATTATGCCTACATCAAAAAGCCTGCTGGAATTTGCCCACCAAGCAACAGCAATTTCAAAAATAATCTCACATTCCTCAAAAAAACAGCGATGCGTACCAACATAAGCAATGAATCATATATTTTGCGCATTTTTACTCAGCGGACGCTTGTTGTTAGGAATGTTCACTGCCTTAAAGTCTGGTGTGTGCAAAAATAGCCGAAATGTTGTCTATTTCGCAAGCGATGAAATCCCTCATCAAATGCCGTATGTGCAAATGCAGATGTACTGACAGTCGGATCAAATTTGTAGGACACAGAACATAAATAGAAGACATCGAGGAAAATTTTAGCGTCCCATTTTGTCTGGTTCCCGAACTAAAAATTTTCCATCTGAAATTTTTTATGTATATATGAAAGCTAAATTTGAATTTCCAAGGTTTCATATTGAAATATTCATATTATAGCATCATCCCAAATTTCCATTTTTATGTTTTGTCTAGTGCCCAAGTGAGAATGCCTCCCGCCAAAAATTTCGTGGGACTCAAACGCAAATGAAGGCCGATTTAAATGTGCGTGGTCGCACCCAAGCACGGAACATCCCCTGAAAATATCAGCCGTCTGGTTCCTGACTTGAAAACTCCGGACAAAATTCGCCCTGAATAAACATAAACATAGGCACACAAACAAACAAGCAAACAAACAAACAAACATACAAACATACATACATACATGGATACACACACACATACATACATATATACATTCATACATACATACATACATACATACAAACATACATACATACATACATACATACATACATACATACA